ACAGGGATGGTGGAGAGAGAGAGAGTAAAGTGGGATGGTGGAGAGCGAGGGAGGGATGGTGGAGAGAAAGGGGGATGGTGGAGAAAGTGGGATAATGGAGAGAAATACAGTGGACAGAGTTTGAGACTCTGACAGAGTTGCAGAATGCAATGACAGAGGGAGATTGCCGACAGTAGGATAACAGAAAAGGTATCTCCATACTACAGGAGGTGACAGGATAACAGAGGCAGGCATTCAGAAAGAGGGATTTTCCAGAGAGGGGGTTAACCTTAGAGATGGATTTTTACGGAGAGTGCGATTTTTCAGAAATAAAGAAGCCACTGAGAGAGATTTTGCAAGAGAGTTACTTTGCAATGTTTACATGTTTTTTGAAAACACCAAGTTGACTTTTGCAATTCAGCAGTTTACGTATTGGACATTAACCTTAGTTAAACATCAGTAAGTGGGTAATGTTCTGCAACTAAAGACGGTTTGGTGTTCAGCAAACAGCCTGTGTGGAACAACAGAAAAATTGTCACCAAGTTCACTACAAACTGTACAGGAAGACCCTTTAGCAAGACACTGAAAGATTCAATAGGAATGTAAATATTGTGATCAATGATTACTTCCTGCAAGTATAAATGAGGACAATCAAAAGAACTTGTTCTCCACGAAAAAAAAACAATATGTAATACGAGCAGGGGTAGACTATTTGGCCCATCAAGCCTGTTTCACTATTTGATAAGGTCATGTTTTATTTAACTGTGGCCTTGACTCCACTTTCCTGCCTGGCTCCCATAACACTGGAGTCTCCTGTTCATCAAACATCAGTTTAATTCAGCTCTGAATATGTTCAATAACCCAGACTTCACTGCTCTCTGTGGAAGAGAATTCTGAAGACCCAGTCTATTCAGGCTCTCCCTATAGCTCAAACCATCCAACCTTGCCAACATGCTTTTAGATCTTTTATGAACCCTTTCAAGTTTCACAACATTCTTCCTACAGCAGGGAGACCAGAATTGCAAACAGTTTTCCAAAAGTGGCCTAACCACTTCTTCTCTGAGGCCTCAGAGAATAAATTCCTCATCTTTATCTTAAATGGGACACCCTTCTCTTGAAATTGTGGTCCACTGTCTTAGATCACACACCCCCACGCCGCGCCATGAGGGGAAACATTTTTGAAGACGTAACAAAGAGGTTTGATCAGGACAGATTGGTGGACGTGATCTGTATGGACTTCAGGAAGGCATTAGACAAGGTTCCAAATGGTAGATAGGTTAGCAGATGAACTAGCCATTTGGATACAGAACTGGTTCAACAGTAGAAGACAGGGTGGTGGTGGAGGGTTGCTTTTCAGACTGGAGGCCTGTGGCCAGCAGTGTACCACAACAATTGGTGCTGGCTCCATTGCTTTTTGGCATTTATGTAAATGACTTGGGTGTGAACATAGGAGATATGGTTAGTAAGTTTGCAGATGACACCAGAATTCGAGGTGTAGTGGACAGAAAAGAAACCATCGGGAGTTTGATCAGATGGGCTGAGGAGTGGCAGATTGAGTTCAATTTAGATAAATGTGAGGTGCTGCATTTTAGAAAGCTAATCAGGACAGGACTTATACACTTAACAGCAAGGTCCTGGGGAGTGTTGCTGAACAAAGGGAACAATGCAGGTTCATAGTTCCTTGAAAGTGGAGTCACAGATAGACAGGATAGTAAAGGAGATATTTGGTATGCTTGCCTTTATTGATCAGTGTGTTGAGTTTAGGAGTTGGGAGGTCATGTCATGGCTGTACAGGACATTGGTGGGCCACTTTTGGAAAACTGCTTGCAATTCTGGTCATTCTGGTCTCCCTGCTGTAGGAAGGATGTTGTGAAACTTGAAAGGGTTCAGAAAAGATTTTAAAAGCATGTTGGCAAGGTTGGATGGTTTGAGCTATAGGGAGAGCCTGAATAGACTGGGGCTATTTTCCCTGGAGCGTCAGAGGCTGAAGGGTGAACTGAAAGAGGTTTATAAAATCATGAGGGACAGGGATGGGTGAACAGCCGAGGTCTTTTCCCCTGGTGGGGGAGTCCAAAACTAGAGGGCATAGGTTTAAGGAGAGAGGGGAAAGATTTAAGAGGGACCTAAGAGGAAACCTTTTGACACAGAGGCTTGTGCATCTGTGTATGGAATGAGCTGCCAGAGGAAGCGGTCACGGCTGGTACAATTATAACATTTAAAAGGCATCTGCATAGGTACATGAATAGAAAGGGTTTAAGAGGGATATGAGCCAAATGCTGGCATTTGGGACTAGATTAATTTAGTATATCTGGTCAGCCTGGGTGAGTTGGAGTGAAAGTTCTGTTTCCATGCTGTACAAATCTATGACTCTATCTGATCTGTGCAGCACGCTTCCCTCCCACCTCCTGCCCACACATACAATCCCATATGTCTCTGAGATAACCTGTCATTCTTCTAAACCCATATGAGTAGAAGCCAATCTGTTCAATCTGTCCTCAGATGACAAACCTCTTCATCAATCTAGTGATCCTCTTGGACCTGCTTCCAAATCAAATATATCCCTCAAGATGGCTTTTGTGGCCCAGGGGTAGCGACCTATCCAGGAGGTCAGAAAGACTGGATTCAAGTCCTACCTCATCTAGAGGTGTGTCATAAGATGCCTGCACAGGTTGATGAGAAAAACAAAATCTGAACCATCCCAATTGGTAGGCTCAAGGACCCTTGTAGCACAATGATTTTGCCCCTACATCTGGACGAAGAGGTCTCGATTCAAGTTCTACCTCATCTAGAGGTGTGTAACAATACCTCTGAACAGGTTGATTAGCAAAATAATCAATCCCTCCTTCTGCAACGAGACCAAAATTGTACATATACTTCAGATGTAGTCTCACAAAATGCTCTGTACAACTGTAGCAAGACTGCCCTACTGGTATACTACATCATCTTTGAATGAAGGCCAATATTCCATTTTCCTTCCAAATTAGCTGCTACCTCTGCATAGCAGCCCTCTTTGATTCACATACACATTCCAAATAACATTGCAAATTACTGAGACTCAAGTGGAGAACAAAACAGACCAATTCTTAAAACAGCTAGCTGGTTAATTGTCAACATCCCTTGGGTAGTGCTGATATATGTGGCTCGATCAGGGCAATCGCAGGGTTTGTCATAGGTTTTCACCAGCCTGTTTCCACATGTACTGTTTGGAAACAACTTCAAACAGGAAGAGATCTTACTTGTCTCCGTATGAAAGAGATTGCTTATCAGCTGGGCATTGCTATAATAATATGTTTGATGTTAATCTGACTTCTCTTTTGCACCTTGGCAGCCTGTTCCACTTCAGTTGGAATTTGGGCAGTGCCCTTGGGCAGACAACTTAAGAGCTGAGACAAAACCAGAAATTGCTGGAGAAACTCAGCAGCATCTGTGGAGAGACAGCAGAGTTTTCAAATCGAGTGACATTTCTTCAAAAATGAGAGTTGACATTTCTGACCCATTCTCCTCCTTCCCACAACACAGATAAGAGTCTGTCCAGTTATCACTTTCCATCCCACCAGCCTCTGCATTCCAAAGGATCATCAGCCATCATTTCTACTACCTCCAGCGGGTTGCTGCCATCAGACACATATTCGCCTTCCCTCCATTGTCAGCCTTCCGCAGGGCCCATTTCCTCCAGAACACCCTAGTCTGGGACACCACTCCTTCTCCATTCCCAACACCTATTCACACCCTCACAGCACTTTCCCATGCAATCACAGAAGGTGCAACTCCTGCCCATTTACCTCCTCCCTCCTCACTATCCAAGGCCCCAGACACACCTTCCAGGCGAAGCAGTGATTTACCTGCACTTCACTCAATCTAGTCTATTCGCTGCTCACAATATGGGGAAGAGAAAACACAGACTAGGTGAACACTTTGTGATACACCTATGTTCTGTCCACAAACATGACTCTGAGCTTCCAGTTGCCTGCCATTTCAACAGACCACTACGTTCCCTGGTCAACATTTGTCGAGGCTGCTGCAGTGCCCCTGCCAAGCTGAGCTAATTTGGAATAACAGCGTCTCATTTTCAACGTGGGGACCCTGCAGCCTTCAGGACTGAATATCGAGTTCACTAATTTTAGAGCCTGAACACCACCTTCCATATTCTTTACCCACCCCCACCCCCTGTCATCATATTTCTTGGCCTTTTGTCTCTTGACATGTCCTTTGCTCAGGATATTATTCCTGCTGAATCAAGTCATCAGTCCATTCTGGAGGATACTTAATCCTTTTGAAATTCTTTCACAGTGGAGGTCTTCCATGCTGAATCAGGTAAGTGCCTTAAAACATCAACCCAAGGACCTTCAATCTGATGAATTTCCTTCAGGGAAGACGGCTGCCCAAATTAAGCAGGGGTTACCTGTATGCTATATCCTGATTTTATTAGCCACGTTATTTCCGCACGGAAATCCAAACACATTACATTTACCAGTTTCCCTTCATCAGCTCTTGAGAATATATTCTCAAGGAACTCAAGCAAATTTGTCAAACATTAATTTGAAGGGAACATAGACCAAATCAAGAACAAAAACAAAGTTGCTCTAAAAGCTCAACACGTGTGGCAGCATCCGTTCTGAGGAAGGGTCACTGGGCCCAAAACATTAACTCTGTTTTTTACTTCACAGATGCTGCCAGACCTGCTGAGTTTTTCCAGCAACTTCTGTTTTTGTTCCTGATTTACAGCATTTGCAGTTCTTTCAGTTTTTTTTAAAAATATAGACCAAATCAAGAATGAGGGGTCAAAATTTGGCTGTATGATAGCCTGTTATACCTCAGGCATGATCCATTTCAATCATGTTGCAGAGGGGATCTTCTTGATATCCACATGAATGCTCTAAAATGAATACAGTCAGGGTGGGAAAGCAAGAAAAGAGCAGAGAATGTTTTGGATATGGAATGGGAGAACAGAAACAATAAAAGAAGATAATACAAGGTGAGCACAGTTTATTGACCATTAAATAAAAACACTTGCCATAAAATTTCTAACAATGCTTATATTTTATTGATCTTTATGTCAAAATATTTTCTCCAGGGTATTTAAAATTTGCTCTTGACATATCCACTTAGGAATGTTGCATCAGTGAGAGATTCCATCACCTGCAGATCTCACTAATATTCCTCGTGAAATGGATATTTAGGGTGATCAATTAACCTAGGATGGAACAGAAAAAAAATGGAAGCTTAAAATGGGTCTTACAGCTCAGACATCATTTGTCACTGGGGGTTGGGGAGGGGGCAAGAAGGGGTCCATAGCAAGACCAGTACAGGAGGAAGTCTTCACTCGCCACTGACCCCCACCCCACCCACCCAAAACTGAAGCTTGTGGAAAGGTTGGTAGAGTATGCCTGGTGATCTCCCCAACTGCTGCTGTTAAATACAAGCAATGGGAACAGGTCTTCCAGTGGTTAATTGGCACTAGGACATGAGAACTCTGGGAAATACTGAGGATCAGGCAGACCTTGGTGTTCATGTCCATCAGTCGTTTAAGTAAAATTTTCAGGATAAGTGGATAACATGGTTAAGAAGGCATGTGGGATACTTACCTGTATGCGCTGAGGCATAGAGTTTAAGACCAGGAAACTGTATAAAATATTGGTTATGCCACAGCTTACAGGAACGTGTGCATTTCTGGAATTTACATTATAGGAAGTATGTGATAGCACTGGAGGGAATACAGAAGAGATTTACTGACGTCTGGGCTGGACATTTTTAAGCGTGAAGCAAAATTGAACAGACTGGGGTGCTTTCTCTAGAGTAGAGGATACTGGGGGTGTGGGGATGTGAAGTCATGACTGAGATTAAAATGATGCGGGGCATAAATAGTGTAACAGGAAGAAACATTTGCCCTTGGTGGAGGGATCAATAACCAAGGGATCACAGATCTAAGATAAGGGGCAGAAGGTTTAAGAGATGTGAGGAAAAATGTTTTCACTTAGAGGGTGGTGGGAATTTGGAACTCACTGCCGGTGAGTGTGATAGAGGCAGAAAACTTCAAAAACATTTAAGTAGTACTTAGATATGCCCTCGTGATGCTAAAGCATACAAGGCTATGGGCTATGTGCTAAAAAAATGGGATGACCGCAGACTCAGTGAAGAGCCAAATCTGTGCTGTAGACCACTATGACACCACTGGTAAAATGCCAAAGGCAGCAGACATTCCACTCACAGCTGTCACACCCAATTTATATGCCCTATATCTGTCAGCCTACTGTATGGGGCCTCATAAAAATCACAGCCAATATATCACTTAGCAGGCAGTTTTTCAAAAAAGATTGATGTACAGATAATTTTGTGTAGAAGATTGCTCTAGTAGGTTGAGTTAGCAAGTGGTTTTCAGCATTACAGCCTCTGGTTCATGCTATCCTAGGATACAGAGCTGGACAATAAGAGTAAAACACTTAAAATCAGGGATAGAATTATTTCATTTACTGACGCCGTATCAGGAGGAATATCTAGTGTGGACTTCACATTTGTTTCAACTAGGTTTGGAATTTTACAAGCAGTGACTTAAAACCTAGAAAAAGTCATCTATAAAATTTTGGGCCGAGTCAAGTTACAATCAGAACAAAACGAGGAGTGATTCAGAAAGATTCATCCAGAAACTACTGCAGGACTGGAATTTTTCAAAAACATTTCTCCATGCGGATGCAAGTGTTGCTGGCATTTGTCACCGTGGAGAAGGTGGTGGTGGGCTGCCAACTTGAAACTCTGCAGTCTATGTGTGTAGCGTCAGGCCCAGTGCTGTTAAGAAATTCCAGGATATTCACTCAGTGACAATGAAGTTTGTGGTGAAATTGCTCTAAGTCAGGATGGTGCGTTCGGAGGGGAACTTTTGAACAGTGGTGTTCTGATGTATCTGCAGCTGTGTCCTTCTAGAATGTAGGGGCTGCAGGTTTGAAAGCTGCTGTTGAAGGAACATTGGTGAGTTTCTGCAGTGCATTTTGTAGCTGGTACACACTGCTGCTGCTACTACTGCTACGTGTCAATGGTGAAGGTTGAAGGTGGTTGTTCCTGGAACAAGCAATTCAACCTGTGCATAGCAAGTCAACTATAGATTGAATCAATAAACAAACTGAAACCTACTTTCAAGTTCAGAATGTTCAATAAAGAAACGACATGAAAAAAGTGTCAATAGCATTATCCCAATGTTACTTGTACCACCAGAAACCAACTAACCAAATTGATTTCATCGTAGGAATTCCTTACATCAAGGATCACACCACTGCAATTCGCTTCAGAATATTACTTACTGTTTCACAATTACATAGCGGCAGTTTTTGTTTATTCCATCAATAGCTTTCATCTCTTCATCTGTCAGCTGGAAGTCAAAGATCTGCATTTGTACAGAAAGAAATTCTTTCAGAACAATATTTGGAAATTATTGGGTTTTCTTTACTATTATACCACAATCATTTGACGTTGTAGTTTAGAATCGTTTTGTGATGTATATCAACCACCTCTAACAAAGTAGAGGTAATTGTGTAATGGTGTTGTCACTAGGCTATTGATCCATAGACCGAGGCTAATGTTCTGGGACAATGGCTGGAGTAGGATTTGAACCAGTAGTGAAATTTGAATCAACGAAAATCTGGAATTTAAAGCTAGTCTACCGGTAAACACATAACCATTCTTGTAAAGACCAATCTGGTCACTAGAGAAGATTTAGGAAGGGAAATCCTTATTTGATCTGGCCTACATGAGTCTCCAGACCCATAACCGAGTGTTTAACTCTTAACTATCCTCTGAAAGGGCCCTGGCAAGCTATTCAGTTCAATGGTAATAGGGATGATTAATAAATGCTGCAGCAACACCCATATCCCATGAACGAACAAATTTCTTCACTGATTCTGTTGAAAAACCTGGATAAGAATGATCCAATACAGAGGTGGTCAAGGGGCTATTATGCCCATCCCAGCATTATCTAATTACACGCATTTACACAATACATTGTAAAAAGTATTTATCTGCTTGTTTTGGAAAGCTACAATTGAATCGGCTTCACAACTGAAGTTTGTCATTCTTAACCAAATCTTCACTATACTCAGGCTTTGGCTCTCCTGGCCTCAATCTCCATCCTCCATAAAAGTAATTAATTAACCTTGCTTCCTTCCTTCCAAGAACTTGCATTCTAATAACTCTCATCTCATACATTCTCCCTTCCCTTCAGTGCACCAATGGCCATGCTTTCAGAAACTAAGACCTTAAACTCTTAAATTCCCTCTCCTTCCTCCTCAAAAGGTCCATCTTAAAAAAAATGTACCTTTACATTCACTCTAATATTGCTTTAGTTGATTTGGCTTTATTATTTTAGTCTATTTACAATCCTGTTGTAACACTTAAGACTATTTATATTAGATCCTATAGTTAAATCTAAAAATAAAGAGCTGCAAAACAGTCAAACTCCTGATTATTCACTTGTCTCTCTGTCACATGTTGAATGTCTTGAGGTTTTCTCACTTTCCCATCCCCAGGCAAAGGTGCTACATAAATGCAAGTTCATATTGGAGGTCAGCAACTACCTTTTATCACTCGATCAAATGGTTGTTAAAAAAAGACAAAAAGGCACCCAGAGAGTTTATAAATAGATTCCAAACCAGCTGGCAAGGTAGAAATTAACATGTGTCCTTTCTTGGGGAGAGAATGCAGTGGCTTCTTTCCCAATGTAGCCAGAAAGACAGCGGCTCTCTTTTAATATGTGTTTAAAGACAATTAATATCCACTACTTGTTTCTCTGAACCATAAAGATATTAACAAAGTGATCAACCAGACATTAACGAGTCGACTGATAAGCTGTGTGTGTCTTCAGCAACTGATGCTGCCCTTGGCTATCTTCAGACAAATAAATGTGCACTAGGCTCTCTTGTGGTGCAATGGTAATGTCTGTACCCTGAAAGGAGACAGCCAGGTTCAAGCTCCACCTGCTCCAGGGGTGTGTAATAACATTGCTGAACAGGTGGATTAGAAAAATAGGTTAACTTTTAAAAAAAGTACTCTGGTTTGACCATGCAAATTCATTCCTAGAGACTGCATGCTTTGCAATGTAAAATTTGGAGATCAGGTGCAATCATGCAAAAACAGCAGAAAACAACTAAAAGAGCAATCATTTATAGGAGGAATATTTTACCTCTTTGTTCTGCTTCATCCGTCCAGGATTGAAACTCTTTGGAATAATGACAACATCACGTTGTATCTGATAACGGAGGGCTACTTGAGCTGCTGTTTTGTTGTGTTTCTCACCAATCTTTCTCAGCTCGGGGTCGTTCAAAAGGATGGGATTGTTTGGGTTGAACCTGCATTAGAAATAGGAAAGATGCACTACAGGATCCAAGATCGATGAGGGACCAGACCCCTGGCTGATTTCTGCACAGTTCCTGACTGACATACCACTAATCCTCAATGGGATAAACTGGACCTGGAGGATTGACAAGGCCTACTCCCCACACCTCATAACCCTGGACACCCAGACCAGGAGTAAGCCAGGACAGTTGCAGGCAAGTCAACATAACTGAATGAGAGTCAGGAATTCATATTCTCATCGTTGAAATAAATTTTATCTCTTAAAAATGTTCTCCAACTTCAAAAGTCAGGTTGGCCATTCTGACTGTCAGCGTCTTGATGCCTAACTATGTGCGTTAATATCTCGTTAAAAGCACAACTCACTGCACTTAAGTCAGCCTTCCAAATGAACTTTGTCCATTTAAGAAAGCTTCTTATATTTGGCTGCAGGTATTTGACTGTTTGACAACGGTGTGTACTTTGCCACCTTCACTTTGTCTTGGCCTTTTGGGTAAGTACTTGCTGCTTTGTTATTCTTATCAATTCAGGTTCAAATCCCTGTTACGTTCAGCTGCAGTGAAAACTCTCCACGTATGATCAAAGTGTGGCATGGAGAGTAAGGCACTGTATATCTATGGGCCAAGACACAAGCAGGCCGTGGTTGAAGAAAACAGTAGAGGGCAAACAGCTAAGGAGAGAGGGGCTGTCTGTCTGGCAGCATCTGAAGACGGCGAGAGAATCACAGCCAATGTTTCAAATCCAACGTGTCAAAATGTTAACCGCTTGTCTCTCTGCAGATGCTGCCTGACCTGCTGAGTTTCTCTAGCAATTTCTGTTTTTATTTCAGAAGATCAGCATCTGCAATATTTTGCTTTTATTCAAGGAATGTAATGGTGCAGGTGACTTTGGAATGGAAGGGGAAAGGGTTAGGAGGGGCATTGGAAACAGAACAGATTAAATGGCGGAATGGAAACAGCCTAAATCAGTGAAATGAGGGATATGGGGAGCTGGCAGGAAAGTGGATTTCAGGCCATTGATTAAACTGGATGGCACTGAACAACGGAAGAGGCTGGAAGGACACTTCATCTATTTCTGCTCCTTTAAAATGAAACCGATATCACAGATCTTAAAGTTCTCTTAACACTCTGGGTGTCCAGCTACCAAGACCCAGGGAAAAGTTGCAGAAATAGTACAACGTGCTTTACACATTGCAGTGTCCCCTTTCAGTTCGTTGATTTCATAAACTTACCACTTAGGATCTGGCGATGATCCCAAAGGACTGTAGCCCACGAGAACAATATTGTTGGATTTACAGTATTTCAGAAGTTTGCTCTGGTTCAAGTATGGGTGACATTCAACCTTCAAAGGACAGACAGTTTTCAGATTTCAAAGAATGTGAGATGAACATGTCACAAAGGTTAACAATCCTTCCACTCAAAACAACCAAAGGACCTACAGAGTGCAGTGAGGCTTCCCACAGCAATGTCTCACAAACAGCAGTGATATGGTGGCAATGCAAGATCCAACACCAGGAAAATTCAAAGTGTGTTCTAGGAGCTTGAACATATACCTGGGGAGGCAGATGGGGCTTCAGTTTAACAACCCAGCACTTTCAAGATAATGCACCTCCCTTTGTATGGCACTGAAATCCTGGTCAGTTTATATACACTTGAGCCTGAGCATGGAGCTCAAAATGAGAATTACCCACTGAGTCAGGCTGATACACGGTATGTTTAACTTAAACATCAACAATTTCAAACAGGACTCCAATTCACCTACTTCCACTTCAAACTGAAATTGCTGGAAATACTTATGGAGGATTAAGCAGCATCTGCTGTTGGAAGTTGGGGTCCTCTTCAAAAGTGACGCTTTTTCCCTGTTTTATGTTTAGCATTTTCTGTACAATCCAGGTGTTCCAGTAGTAAAGAGCCATTCGTAAATATAATCTGATCTCCAGTATATGTAAAGACAAAAGATTATAAATCAAGTACCTTGGTGTCCATGTTCAGCAGTCCCTTAAATATCAGGACAGTTGGATAAAAAGGCATATGGAATGCTTGCTTTGTTATTGGAGGCATACAGAGATTCAGAGCAAGGTAGTGATGCTGGAACTGTATAAAACACTGGTTAGGCCACAGCTAGAGTACTGTGCGTATTTCTGGAATCAACATTATAGGAGGGATGTGATAGCACTGCACAGGGCGCAAAGGATGTTGCCCGAACTGAAGAGTTTCAGTTATGAAGAGAGGTTGAACAGACTGGAGTTGTTTTCCTTTGAGCAGATTGAGGGTGGGCATGATTGAGATGTATAAAATTATGAGGGGCATAGATAGAGAAGACAGGTTAAAAACATTTCCCTGTGATGGAAGGATCAATGACCAGGAGGGTGTAGATTTAAAATATATGGGGTAGAAGGTTTAGTTGGAGAGCCATACATCATAAGAACAGGCCTTTCAGCCCACCATATCTATGTCAACCAACAAGCACTTAAGTACAATAATCCCATTTATCTGCACATGGTCCAGAGCCTAGAAAGAAGTGAGGATTAGGATTTTCACCTAGAGGGTAGTGGAAACCTGCAGCTCACTGCCTGCAAGGGTGGTAGAGGCAGAAACCCTCAAAACATTTAAGTAGTATTTAAATGTGCAGTTGTAATGCCAAGACATTCAAGGCTATGGGCCAAGTGCTGGAAAATGGGATTGGAATAATTAGGTGGTTTTTGAATGGCATTGACTTGATGGGTCAAAGGGCCTGTGTTTTATGACTCTGTGTATCACATTGCTGTATGGTGATCCTTGCTGTGTGTACTAAATTAGCAATTGATGATTTCCAAGGTCAATTAATCAGCCTGCTATAACTTACTCTCCAGGCTCCAGCAAGAAAGATGATCATTTGGGAAGGTATCAAAAGGCTGTAAGATTTGAAACTTTACAGTCTTTTCTCATTTATTACTAAGTAACAGAGCCTCTCATCCAGCAGCAGAAACAAACGGCCCCACTGTTAGTATATACAGCAACAGTTTGAATGATTCCTGTGTCTTACCTGGTTACACACCGGCTTGTATTTCAGCTTGGGCATCCTGAGCAATGTTTCTAGCTGTTTGTGGTTAAAGTTGGACACTCCGATAGATCGCACTAAACCAGCATCTTTGCAGGATTCCATCACCTACAAATGGTAAAATGAACAACCCAACATAGGACAAGTGTATGTGTGTCATGTGTGTGGGTGCACATGTGTTAGAAGCATTCCAAGGATTGGGTGTGAATTCTTTTGTTTAAAGATAGCTCTTGGGTCTGGAATAAACTACGCAAAAAGATGCCGCTGTGAGATTTAACAACACCTTTTAAAAGGAAATTTTGATTAATATTTAGAAAGGATACACATTGCGAGACTATGAGAAAAAAAAAGTGAGGGAGTCTAACGGATTAGATAGCTCTTTCTCACAAATCAAAGAGGACAACCCAAATGGTTTCCTCCTGTGCTATAAAATTCACTCATTCCTGTCCTCCTCTTGTGTGCCAAATGTGTGCTTCCTTCTCCTGTGTGCCATTTCTATATTATTGCAACCTTCCAAATAATCAACACTCCCCGGAGGGTGGCCTAACTCCATATCACTGCCTTTGGCCCATATCCTTTAACACCTGTTAGTTTACAATACCTCCTGCATCATCTGTCAATTCAGGTACCAACTCAGTCCCTTCACGGAACCTTGAGGACTCCCACCTACTACGTGTAGTTAACAGGAGTACATGGACAACGTTGGGCAGCACAATGGATGCAAGATGAGGTGAAGACCCGAGAAAAAGGCACACAGTCAAAGGCTACCTGGAAGTTTCCAGTTGTGAGGAACTGTAGCTGTGAGGAGACGTTCAAAACTTATCCTTGGTCCAAGTCAAAGAGCTGAACTAACCAAAGTCTTCATGGTATTGAGGTTTTAAAAAATGCACATAGAGAAAGAAAGGGAAAAAAAGCCTTCCCATACATAGAACATAGAACGGTACAGCACAGTAATGGCTGTATTTAGCTCAAAATGTTGTTCCATACGTGATGCCAAATTAAAATAATCCCTTCTGCCTCCCCTTGCACCATATTCCTCCATTACTTGATACTCATGTACTTATCTAAAAGTCCCTTAAACACTGCTATTGTATAATATTGTAAATGTGGCACAGTGGTTCAGTGGTTAGCATGGTCAGGGATTCCGGTTCCATACCACCCTCGGGCGACTGTGTGGAGTTTGCAGTTCCTTTCTGTCTATGTGGCTTCCCTCCAGGTGCTCCGTTTCCTCCCATTGTCCAAAGAATTGCAAGTTAGGTGGATTGGTTGTGCTAAATTGTCCATAGTGACCAGGGATGTGTAGGTTTTGTGGATTTACCATGGGAAATGCAGGGCTGCAGGGACAGGGGTGGATCTGGCTGGGATGCTCTTCAGAGTACCAGTGTGGACTTGTTGGGCTGAATGGCCTGCTTCCACACTGTGGGTATTCTATGCCTCCACTACCACTCCTGGCAGGGTGTTCCAGACTCCTACCACTCTTGTGCAAAAAAAAACTTGCCCCTCACATCCCTTTTAAGCTTTTCCCCTCTCACCCTAAATGGATGCCCCCTAGTTTTAGGCATTTCAACTCTGGCTTAAAGATTCTGACCATCAACCCTATCTTTGCATCTCATAATTTTATCTAATCAAATCTTCCATCAGCCTCCACCACTCCAGAGAAAACAACCCAAGTTTTTTCTAGCCTCTCCTTATATCTCATACCCTCAAATCCAGGCAGCAACCTGGTAAACGTCTTCTGCACACTCTCCAAAGCCTCCACATCCTTCCAGTAATGTGGCGATCACAATTGAAATCAATACTCTAAGTGTGGACCAACCAAAGTCTTATAAAGTTGCACGTGAGTTATTAACTCGATGTCATAAATTTGAAATCACAGGCTAAACACCTGGATATGGGATAAGGACAGATTTGTTTTAGTCAGTTGTCAGGAAGGGCAGTGAACATTTATGTAATTTTAAAACTGAGATTGCTCAAAGAGCTGGTACAGCTGGTATGCCTACCACCCACTCGGTGCGAAAGGCTCCCCTCAATTCTCTTCTGAAAGCTTTTAATAACTTGCTGCAATTTGGTATCCTGAATTCAGACTCCCTTTGTAAGTAATGGAATGATATTTGCAATCCAATCTTGCAATCCAAGATGCAATTCCAAAAGCTGAAACATTGAAAGGGACAGGCAATAAATACTGCCCCATTCAGTGACGCCAACATCCCATGAACAAGTAAATCAAAATTTAAAGATTAATTTCTACTTTATAGTCTTTCACATTATGGATATTCCCAATTGTCACATTTGATTCAGTACGGACAGTGATTACCTACCGTCCAGGTTTCACAGAAATCCACATCACTGTATAGAAGGTTTCCACTTGCATCCTTAGGAAACAGCACACCTTCACTTAGCTACAACAAACCACACCACCACATATTTAGAAAACATCTTTACTGCACTAAAATCAGAATTACAAACACAGAAATGATTTAAACAATGGACTATTAAATGATGGACTACTTCATTCTTTATCAGCCTGGGAGCTAGTAAAGGTCAGCGAGCACAATTGTTCCATATGTTTAAGACCTGCCCCTTCTGTTGACTCATTGTCCTTTATTTTCAGGACAGCCTGAAGTAGGGACACTAAGCCTAGCTGCTTCCTCACCTCAGACTTTTTTTTTTGGTGAGCCATTGGCCACAAGGGAGAGTTCGAGTGCTTGGAGCAGGAAATGACAGCGTGGTGACTCCAGAAGAGAACACCTACATTTCAGTCACATTAAAAGCCCCCCAGACACCCCTCACATCCTCAACCTCCTCATCAGCACCCCATCCCTCAGCTCTGTAGTCATCAGCACCACCTGCACCCATTTCCACAAAGTGTCCCTTATTTCATTCATAAGAGCTAATTGTTTTTAAAATTCACTCATGGCATGTTGGCATTGGACCAGCAATTATTGCCCATCCCTAACTGCCCAGAGACAAGATTTTGAATGAGTTAAGATAGGGACAACATAATTTAGATGGGAGCGTGAAAGAAGAGAGGCCTGGAGAGGTAATTATCGAGGCAAGTGGTTGAAGTTTCCAGCAGCAATTGAGCTGAGGAATGGTTGGAGTCAGGGTCTGTGATAGATGTGGATATAGGCAGTCATAATAATGAAATAGCAATGTGGGATCAGATGTTCACACCAGGATCAAAGAACACAATGTCACACTCAGCATTGGACAACTTGTTGCTAGTGATGGAAATGACAGCCAAATGAAATGGAAATGGAATTTGGTGCAAGAACTGCATGGCTTCAGTCCTTCCAATATTTAATTGGATGATCTCTCTATTCCAGGACAAGTAGCGTGACAGTGGCGTAGCCCAGAGAAGGATTTACTGAGAGAGGAGTGAGTAGGACTTCATGTGATGCCTTCAGCTTACACCATGCAAATTAGTACACAAAACAAGAAACAGGAGGGGGCAAAGAATCAATCCTTGAGGGACCTAAAATGGTAATAGTGTGGGAGCAGGAAGAGAAGCCATCGTAGCTGGTCATTTGGCCATGATTACATAGACAAAGAATGGAACCAAACCAGTACAATATCATGCAGCTGGAATACGCTCAAGAGGCATTGAGGAGGATGATGGAATCAACTCTGAAGGCTATAAAGACGTCACAAAGCATGTGAAGGAAAGAGTTTACCCTGGTCACAAAGAATGACATTAGAGATTTGGTTAGGATTGTTTCAGACAATTGTTGGGACAAAAATAAGGATCAAAGATACAAGTCGGGACTGATGAACAAAATTACCTTGGAGATGACAAAGAAGGAGGTAGGTTTGAATCAACTGCAATTTAACTGGCTCTATGAAGAAAAGCATCCGCTTCCCTAGTGGCCTCATAAATGATATATTGCCCAGCACTCAGATGAAAAAGGACAATAAAGTTCCATTTTCAACAAGAGGTGTGTGCACTTTTAGTGATGGCAGAGATGGTATCACTGACCTGAGTTTTGATGGGACAGCATGACTGGAAGAGATGGCAATCAATGAGTGTGAACCAGTGACTCTCGGTGGAAGTCAAATTACCCAGTTACTCTCCGCCCAGACTTGGTGTGATATCACACCAATGGAATTATTACAGTCAGAGCTATTTACGGCAGAAGCAGGCCATTTGGTTCATCAAGTCAATCCCTGTAGCCCTGTGTTTATTCCTCTCCCAAACTGTGAGAGACACTGGTGCAGTGGTAAGGTCTTGTGATTTCAAAGACTAATCCTCTGGGGATAACAATTCAAATCCCACCACTAGAGATGGTGAAATTCAAATACAGTTAGTTAATACATCTAGGATTGAAAAGTAATCTCAGTAATAGTTTCATGATCGCGATCTATTGTCTTAAAAATTGATCTGGTTAATTAATGTCCTTTAGGAAAATCAGTCTCTCTTATCCAGTGAAGGCCTACATGAGATACCAGGCCCATAACAATGTGGTTGACTTCTAACTGCTCCTAAATTTGCCTAGAAAGATTTGTGGAGTTAATTTCCAGGGACACTTTTTTGTCATACACTGTAATTCTAAAGCTCATGTTTCTTCAATTCTGCTATCAACCACAGGGTTACAGTTTCCAGAAAAGTACAGTTGGCTGCTATTTGTTCAGGTGTCGTTTGGGGGTGGGGGCTGGTCTACAGGAAACAAGTTCAGCGATATTCAGATACAAAGCTTGATGAGGGGAGCTTCAGAATATCTGAACAAAGGCTACTGTGGACAGCTTTACTGCAATGCATATTAAGACTACGAAACTACGGTTTTACAAACTACTTTAAACCACAAATTTTCATATTACTTTTTGCATCTTTTGAAATTGGAGGAGCAATCTTTGGAAAATGGTGAAAAGACCAGTCACTGGTTTGCCATCTCTGGGTGTATTGCTGAAGGTTTGATCAGAGAGCTGTTGCTGTGCTCCAGCCATTAATTGACCAACACACCCATCCTCACGATACACTGTTTTCTGACCTGGCCTGGGAAGGCAAAGACTCAATGGATGATGCCAACTTTCAGCATCACAGCCTCTCTGCACCACTCTCCATTTTCCATATTTTGACATCTAGTGATTAGAAATGTTCACTAAAATGGAAAAGAAACAATTGTTTTTTAATGTCCAAGTGATTTTCCTCCAGGGTGTAATACATCATTGTCTTGAAGATCGATCCTGAAATTCTGGAGGGTTGAAATTTTGTCCCTCGCCCCTTCCCATCTCGGATATACCTCTCACCAGCTCCCTCTCCCCAAATGATTCAGAACAGGAACAGAAAAGGAGGCCATTAGTATCAACTTTGTGCTTCATAGTAACTTTATACTGGAATATCTTGGTGTTGACAGAAAACAAATCAGCTAAATGGCCAATTCCATGATTATTTACAAAGCCCTGTTCAGGAGATACTGGGAGCTGAACAGCAATTACAGCCATAGAGCCTGGCAGTTATACAGCACGGAAACAGACCCGTCAGTCCAACTTGTCCACAACAACCAGATATCCTAAACTGATCTAGTCCCATTTGCCAGCATTTGGCCCAAATCCCTCTAAACCCTTCCTTTTAATTAACCCATCTAGATATCTTTTAAATGTTCTAATTGTGCCCGCCTCCATCACTTCCTCTGGCAGCTCATTCCATACACTCACTAACCTCTGCGTGATCAAGTCAGGTCCCTTTTAAATCTTTTAAATCTTTCCCCTCTCATCTTAAACGTAAGCTCTCTAGTTCTGGACTCCCCTACCTCAAGAAAAAGACTTTGGTTATTCATCCTATCCAGGCTCTTCATGGTTTTATAAACGTCTATAAAAAGTCCCACCCTCTCAGCCTCCGATGCTCCAAAGAAAAAAGCCCCAGCCTATTAAGCCTTTGTCTCAAGCTCAAACCCTCCAATCCTGACAACATCTTTGTAAATCTTTCCTGAACCCTTTCAACTTTATTGACATCCTTCCTATAGCAGGGAGGCCAGAACTGAATGAAGTATTCTAAAAGTGGCCTCACAATGTCCTGTCCAGCCTCAACATGACATTCCAATTCCAATACTCAGTGGACAAACCAATGCAGACAACCATGCCAAACACCTTCTTCACCATCCTATTTATGTGCGACCTCACTTTCAAAGAACTATGCACCTTCATCCCTGGGTCCCTTTGTTAGAACATAGAACATAGAACATTACAGCGCAGTACAGGCCCTTCGGCCCTCGATGTTGCGCCGACCTGTGAAACCAATCTGAAGCCCATCTAAACTAAACTATTCAGCAACACTCCCCTCAATCTTACCATCAAGTGTATAACTCCTGCCCTGATTTGCCTTTCCAAAATGCAGCACCTCACATTTATCTACATTAAACTCCATGTGCCACTCCTTGGCCTACTGGCCCATCTGATCATTGTCCCATTGTACTCCGAGATAACCTTCGTCACTGTCCACGACACTCACCAATTTTAGTGTTATCTGAAAACATACCAACCATACTTCCTATATTCATATCCAAATCATTTATAGAAATGGTGAAAGATTAAAGATTTTTTAACTTAATTAGGGGCAAAAATGTTTCAGAGCTTCAAAGGAGTGGACGTTAATCACAGGGACACGTACTCTGCTCATACTGGCATTGTGAGGGTGACCAACAGAGGCCACCCTCCCCATGTGACAGCAGTGTGTACACCCTCTGGAGAACATGGGGACAAAGCCAGGAGAGATGATAGCGGACTTAGATTCCAGGAGGAATATCTTCATAATTTTTAAACATGTTACTTTGGGAATCGGATATCGCTTCTGTTGTCAACTTATTTTAGATGTTCGGTAAAAGAACATAGAACACAAATAACTGTACAATTAGTTCAAATTTTGTATAAAAATGTACAAAATTAACGAGCACTCATTGCACTTTCTCACCCAAGGGCTTATTTTACTTCAGGGTGAAAGATGGAATAATTCTGTTCTCTTGATATCTGGCCCCTTTCTCTAACTTTATTAACTATTAGTGAAAACGTCAGTTCTTAAAGAGCCACTTTTGAAAGGCCAAAGAAATACAAGAAAGATTGCAAATGCCAAAGTGGTAATTACTTTCTGAACAAAGACTGGTTGCTAATTTTGGGTCAATATTTCAGGCCTGTGCAAATTTTTAATCACATCTGTGTCTATAACAAATCAAACCTGGTGTTTAAATTCAAGTCAACCCTTGGCTCAAAATATATTTCCAGATGGCCACGTTTGGATCCTATTCCTGGAAACTGGCCACCAAATCCCATGGGATCCACAGAGGTGAATCGATCACTGGGATTATTGGATAACTATTATGAATGGTTAACTTTCCATTCTAAACACAGGAACTCCAAGGTTAGTTGGTAAACCTTGATTGTTGGCCCGATCAAGCTCAGCTAACTCAGTGAAGATGGAGGACCTAAACTGGTAATTCTCAATTGTTTAACACCACTACGGACAAGTCTGCTCACCCACTAGGCATTACAAGCTCCACCTTCCACAGGTTCATTTTTATTTTACCTTTAACCCTGTAGGCCAGTGGATAAGGAATAGATCAATGTAATCCAGCTTCAGGCTTTTCAATGTCAGTTCAAGGCCTTTCCGGACCAGAGCAGGAGAGAGGTAGGACATCCATAACTATAGTCAAAACATAACAAGGGCTGTTAGTTGTATCAGAAAACCACCCAGCATTGCCAGTTTTTATTCAAAACATTCAGGATAGTCTTTTGGGAGCTGGTACAAATGGGTCAAATGGCCTACTTCTATACTTTAAAATTCTCTGATTAGGCTGTTAGAGTCACAGAGACTTACAGCACGGAAACAGACCCTTCGGTCCAACTCTTCTCTAACAACCAGATTTCGTAAATTCATCTCGTCTCATTTCCCAGCAGTAGACCCATATCAATATAAACCCTTCCTATTCATATACCCCTCTAAGAGGCCTTTTAAATGTGAAATTGGTATCAATTTCCACCACTTCCTCTGGCAGTTTATTCCATACATGCACAACTTTGTGCGTGAAAAGGTTGTGCCTTTGGTCTCTTTTAAGTCTTTCCCCTCTCACTTTAAGCTTATGCCTTCTAGTTTTGGACTCCCCCACCCTGGGGAAAAGACCTTGAGGATTAACCCGATCCATGCCCCTCACAGTTTTATTAACTTCTATAAGGTCATCCTGCCAACTCCAACACTCCAGGGAAAATACCCCCGTCTATTCAGCCTCTCCTTATTGCTCAAGCCCTCTAACCCTGGCAACATCCTTGTAAATCTTTTCTGAACCCTTTCAAGTATCCCCAGCTCTCATACCATTGCTAATACAATAATAGATTGTACTGTCTGATCTCCCAACCCAGTTAGTATAATTGTAAACCCATTCACCAAATATGCTCATATTTCATAATGCTGTCCTGGGGTCTCAAAAATGGATCCAACATTAAGTTACTAAAACTGAAGTACACGCAACTTGGGATAACAAGGTGTAGAGCTGG